CTAAAACTTTGTAACTTAGTAAAAAAAAACAACAAAAAACTCAGAGCTGTTCTATGAGTGAAATCATGAAACCCATTTAATCATTCAAATAGCCACTTCAAATGTCTTTATCCCCAAAACTTGATGATGATGGAAAAAGTACTCCAAGTTAGCGTTTCTAGTTTTGAGATACACCCAACTTTAACTCCTTTGAAAGACCTTGTAGGTTTGTTAATAAACAATATAAATGTCGCCGTAATCCTCTGGTATCTAAGAGACAATCTGAATTACGCAGACACTACATTTCTAAAACATTAAAAACTCTCTGACACAGCGAAAGTAAGGATTCTTGCCAAAACGAAATGTTCCTGCTCTCTCAGCAAAAGAGATTAATCGTGTGAGAGTTTCCTACTCCATTCAGCTTCTCACGCAAGTCTTCATTGATTTATTTGTATTTTTTCTTATACGAAGGTATACCATCGTTCTGGAAAAACTGGAGATGTGTCAAAATATTGCTTATTCTTTTTAAGGTTGAAATTTATATATAGTTCCTTATTAGAAAAGTATATACATTACACTCAAATGACGCTTATTCAATGTACTTTAACAGTACTTTAGAGAATAAAGGTTTAACATATATATTCTGGAGCATATATCAGATTATAACATACCTTTGTTTTATATGTGAGGTATCCACAGTTTAGTACTCCAGTACTTTCTATCTAAAATATAAGCCAGTAAGCAAATGAACGAGGCAAAGCGTCTCTCAAGTATTTCTAGTGAACCAATAAATAAAGTGTCACTCCAGTACTGTTTATCTACAAAACAAACCAGTCAACCAATAACAATACAAAACGTCACTGCCCATCCACAAAAGAAACCAGTCAAACAATTATAAGGCATAGATAGCGTCATTCCAGTACTTACTAACTACAAAACAAGCCACTCAACCGTAAAATAAACCAGTAAATCAAGAACAAGACAAAGCGTCATACTAGTACAGTCTTTCTTCAAAATAAACCAGTATTTCAAGAACAAGACAAAGCGTCATACTAGTACAGTCTTTCTTCAAATTAAGCCAGTAAATAAAGGACAAAGTACAACGTAATACTAATACTTTATGTCTTACCAAAATAATAAAACAGAAAACCAAGATCAAGTTACAACGTCAAACCAATGCTTTCTATGAACAAAATAATCTGGTAAACCAAAGAGCAAAGCATGGCGTGATCCATTATCAGTATTATATATTGTTACAAAATAAGCTAGTCAATGAAAGATAAAGCACAGCGTCACTCTAGTATTGTCTTTCTTCACAATTAATCAACGAAGCAAGGACGAATTACAGTGTAATATCATTATTACTTATCATCAAAATAACTAGCATACTAATAAAAAAATTACACCAGTAGTGGCTATTTGTAAAATAACCTAGTAAACTTATCTGTTTTCAAGATAAACGGTACGGGTATGACTCTGTAATGTATTGTTGGTTCTATGGTTTACTTTGACAGAATAGACAGTTTGATGTAATGCTTGCCCTTTATCCTTGACTTAGAGGTTCATTTTGACAGTACTGATGTGAAGCTATGCTTCGTCATTGACATATTGGTTTATTTTTAAACAATATAGAGTTTTTATCTGGATCTGTTTTTGATTTATAACTTAATTTTGAAACGATAAACAATACTTATGTGATACTGTCTTTTATCCCTGATGTACAGGTAAATTTTGATATTATAGAACGTAAGGTATATTTTAAAACGACAGACAGTCTTTCTGTGATCCTTTCTTTTATACTTGATTTGCTGATTTATTGTCAAACAGTACTGATATGATCGGGTACTCTGTTCTTGAGTTACAGGTTTATTTTTAAATAAGAAGTAACACTGTTGTGATACCATATACTGTCTTCTTGATTCATAACTTTATTTTTAAACAAGAAGTAACACTGTTGTGATACCATATACTGTCTTCTTGATTCATAACTTTATTTTTAAATAAGAAGTAACACTGTTGTGATACCATATACTGTCACCTTGATTCATAACTTTATTTTTAAACTAAGAAGTAACACT